TTTTTTTTTTTGAATAAAAGGGTTGGGAAGTGCCCAGTGATGATTGGTGTCTCTCAAAGAAGCAGCGGGCTTCGAATACCTTTCCAAAATAGCGACGGCTCCTAATATTACATATTACTCCTATATTGTTACTTGGCTGAGTTTTTAGGGCTTTCATATACTCCGGATCCCAGTCTAGCTCAAGACAGTCGATCTGAATACTGGTGTTCAGCCTGATTGGCTTGGGATAAATCCAAATGTCTTCCATTGCTGAATAGAATTTATTCAAATTCAAACTCTCTCTTTCCCGGAGTTAACTTCTATTTAATTCACAAAACAGCAAAACTAATATTTCAATTTGTAATGCATATTTCCAGTACCTCCTACTGGCAGCACGTGAAATTCGACCTGATATCTATGTTTTCGCCGAATTATTTACTGGTTCTGAAGAAAGCGACAATATGTTTGTGAATCGCTTGGGTATTTCGTCGCTTATAAGAGGTACGTACAGCTGTATCCATGTAATTGCTTTTACAAATCTTAGCATAAGGCCAAGAGCATGGCGCATTGGCAACATCGATTAGCTATTCTTTATTTTTCAAAAAGGCTAGATCTTTTAATCAGAATTGTTTTAACGTTGAATGTGCCCGTGATTATCTTTTTATGGTGATTTTCCCAATTTGTTTTCTTCAGAAGCCCAAGCAGCATACGATAGTCATGAGCAAGGAAGACTAGTGTACAAGTTCGTTACCATCTGTTTATTCTTATTTATTTAAATTTTAGGTTGTTTATTTTTGCTCCTCTCTAGACATCGTCGCTGCGATCAATCTGAAATTCAAATATTTCAAATAATCTAGACCACTTTTTACTTCTCTGAATGAAGGTGGAGAGTGGTCGTCCAAACGGGACGACCCAACTCTTGAAAATTTTCAATCTTACAATTTTTTATTCTACTTGTTTATCGATTATTTATTTTTCAGTGGCTTACTACTATCTGTTCTTGTTATTTTGTTGTTTTGCTTATCTTATTTACTATTTATCGATTACTTGTTATTTGTCTTTGTTGTTTTTCATTTCAATTTCTTTTTCTTATAGATACGGTGGCGACGTCGTGGGAGCAATGATCCAGAAACCAGTACGACCTGCACCGCAATCAGTTGCACATGCCATTTTCCTTGATCAAAGTCATGATAACCCATGTCCTATTGAGGTAACCAGTTATCACTACCATTTCTCAATCATTAATCCGATCATATCTGGATTTCAGTCTCGATCGGTGTACGATTTGTTGCCTACTGCAGCTATGGTCTCAATGGCATCATGTGCTTCCGGTTCGGTTCGGGGCTACGATGAACTTGTCAGACATCAGGTCAGTAGCTATTGAGAGTTTTATTCGAAAAAGGAGCAGACTTCTGAAAAACTTCCTCGGAGTCCTCATGCTCTCTGAATTCCATGTTTTACAGTAGATACGGCTGAATTGCTCACAAAAAGTTTTTTCTTATATTTTTGATAGAGAATTTTTCTCTTCCTTCGGTTGGAAAACACTTCACCTTTTGCCCGATTGATCAGGAACTTTTCCATGATTATTCAAATTCACTGGATTTGTATCAGAGCATCTATATAAGAATGCATCGCTAAATAA